TGCATACAAATATAAAAATAGTAGTCTCATAGCTCTCTCTCAATAAAAAAACACATTACATTTTCTTCAATGAAATCCCAGGCACTTTCCCCCTGTGTGACTGGGACCAGTGTTGCCATGGTGATACATTCCCCTTTCCAGAAACAAGAGGTCACATCCCACAGGGCGAAGTCTCTCCGAGGGTCTGTTTCCCCTCGTTCACTGTGCTTTAACGAACACAACGAAATGCAAGCATCTCTATAATGTGATAAGATAAATTAAGAAGTACTTTATTCTGAAAAGCTCAAATGAAACCTTTGATAGGGTTTGGGGCCCGTTTGCTCAACTGCTAGGGAGGGGTAGTGTGTCAATCAGGCTAAGAAATAACAATGAGAATCCATGAGAGCGATGTGGTTGAAAGGAAAAGTAAGGTACTTCTTAAACTGCTGTGACTATGTACACTTTTTAGAATAATGTTGCTACCGCCCAACTGTTTTAGTTTTATTTAATGTCTTTTATTTGTACTATATTTCAATTTTATTTAACTTTTGAAATGATGTCCTGTCTTGTCTTTTGTTTTTCATATTATTATTTGTTTGTTTTTGTTGTTGTAAGTTTGTGTAAGGTATGTCTTGTTGTTTAAAAGAATGACAAATTAAGTATTTATTGATCCCTATTTGGGAAATGTTTGCGTTGCAGCAGCAAAGTAGAAAAGTATAGGACATATACATGTTGATGAAACGCCCCTGAGGTTGGAAGGAAACTCTGAGAAACCTCGCCATGCTCGAGATCATCCATTATCATCATTCAAAATGAAGTATCGGCATATTATAATATAACATCTGTAGCTCTTCTGTCACATTACACCAACTGTACATACGGTACGGCTCTTCTCTTATCTGTAGACATGTTGCTATACATTACACTACATGTCTCTTGTTAGACGCTTTTATCCAAAGCGACTTCCATACTCAGTACTGTGGGCAATCCCCACAGGAGCACTTTGGGGTGAAGCGTCTCAGGGACACAACGACATGCTGACGGAGGTGTGTGGCGCAGTGGGTTGTGCGTTGGGATCAGGGGGTCACAGGTTCAAACCCCACTGCAGTCAGCATGTCGTTGTGTCCCTGAGACATGTAGTGTAATGACTGCAGAGGGACTCGAACTTGCTATCACCTGATTCGAAGTCCAGCACACTTTCCACTGAGCCACAGCCGCCCTATATTTTGTATTCACTAAATATAAATGAAGAAGTACTTTATTGATCCCAATTTGGGAAACGTTTGCGTTGCAGCAGCATAAAAAGACAAGGCGTTGTACATTAACAATTAAAAGAGAGAAATATACATTCCAAAATGTAAACATCTCAATAGAAATCAAATAGCATTAAACAATATATACATGTTGAATTACAAATTCACAGTAACAACTTCTAAAGCAGGAAATGATATGTTATATATACAGTATGTGAGGAATGGAATATTAAAGAGCAGCAGGGAGGAGGAGGGAATCAGGAACCTTTAGTAAACAGTGTTAGTGTTAAGAGCAAAGGCCACATATTGACAACAACTTGAAGCCGTCCATGTTGACGGATATCAGCCCATTCGATGGAAACAACCGAACAAGCCGGCCATAGAACGTTTGCAATCTTTCTAACAAGCTAACTAGCTAACATTAGCTATCAGTTGAACTAGCTAACTAGTAAGCTAACTAGCTTACGTTCGCTATCTATCTAACTAGCTAGTTAGCACATTTTGACCATCTTGCTATGGCATAATTGCTGTGGACGCTATCCTTCAAAGAAAAAGGGAACAAGAGAAGGAAAGAGGTTAAAAGAGAGGAAGTAAACACTAAACTGACAGCAAGTAAACAAACACTAAAGGGAACAGTAGAAGAAGACATTTCATTTCAAACCTTTATTTATACAGATGAATCCCATTGAGATCATTGGTCTCTTTTTCAAGGAGACCTGCTCAAGTAGTTCCACATGAAACATAAAGCATAAACAGAACAACACAAGGACATCATACAGCATGATTTACATAACTATCCACATGAACAGGTACCAATAGCTTCCCATTGACTAGCATCCAACGAGCTTTAAAAACATTTAGTGGCACCAGATTGTTCAGTTTCCATTTAATTTGCAGACTATTCCAAGACAGAGGAGCTGCGCATCTAAAAGCTGTCTTCCCTAAGACAGTCCTAGCAGCTGGCTCATTTAATAAAACCACAGCATGCGATCTCAGGCAGTAGCCACTTACACTTCACCCTGAGATCAGGGAGCAGATATAAGATGGAAGTTTCCCTAACATGGCTTTCTAACAGACAGGAAGTAAACACTAAACTGACATGGGGTGTTTCTCAATGTCGAGTAAAGCTGCTCCAGAGCCACTATTTCAAGCATACTACGTCATGGAGTGCCGCTGAAGGACTGTTCCAATGTCCAGCATACTTGGAAATCTACCGAGCCCGTCGTACTTCGTTTGGAGAAATGTAGAGGCTGCACACGTGTAGACTCCGCGGTCTTAAAATCCCCACGGACCAATTTCCCCAAATCTGTGGCGGAAAATGTAAGGCGGAGCCTCTCATATGACGCACACCTGCACACTTGCTAGCCTGTTCCACTCTTTGTTTTCCGAATGCCAGGAAGGATTCTTGCCTCACTTCTGAAGCAAGAAGCTCGGCAGACATGTGCTACCAAGCAAGCGTACTCTCGATTGAGAAACACCCATGAAGTAAACACTAAAGGGAACAGCAGGAGAAGACCAGTAGCGTGGCGTGGGGAAAAAATGAGGGGAAGCCAATAATACGTCCTTTCTTTTGGGTCGGGGGTGTGGTGGTCAATGTGATAACGTAACCAGATGAGTGATTACAGCACCCGGTATCATTTTACACACATTTGTATCATACAGATGCAGGACTTACACACGCCTGTTATCTAACCGACAGGTCCGCACGCACTCTCCAGCCCAAACTCTAATAAGCATTCATTCACAAACTAAATCAGGAGACCTTTAACGTTTTACGTCCGATTCGCTCCTTTGTTCCTCTCTATACACAGCTCCAGTTTGGGCATCGGCCTGTCATCAGATTGTATTTTTGTTGCTGCTGTAGCGGAAGTTTAGTACAATTATTTTTGATTAATTACTCCAAATCTCCACCCTCCATAATTGCACTTGCTTCAGCTGCTTGCTACTTTCTAACGGCGGTGAGAGTGGTGCAGTGACGCTATCTATCTTCTATTGATTAGATTTATGATTCGAACATTATAAAAGTAGGGTAGACATGTGGATATTATCCGACTGAACACAACGTGCATTTATCTAACAGGTTCGTTTTCCACTGACCTTATTTCGAGCTATTTTCCGAAATCCTATGGAGAAATCCCATTGCTTTCTGTCGAGGGAACCCGAGCGCAGATTACTTCCGGGTTTTAGGATGCGTCACTGCACCACTAAGTTGATGCGATTTGATTGGATTGTGAGGCAAGGGAAGCCAGCCGCCTCTGGCTTCCCTTGGCATGGCCCTGACCAATCACAGGTTGGCAGGGGCATCACGTGAGCCTCATCTGATTGGTCAATCCCTCCATTTTTTTTCACCCAGGGAAGCCAGATTCGGCTTGCCTCCTCTCGCAACAGTGAGTGCAATCTACTGTTTCACCATAACATCTAGAGGGGCGCTGTTTCACTCTTTGTAAAACACTCAATGAGAATGGGGGAGAGACGGGCCGGCAGCAACACACAGCAAAGGAGAATTATCAAAACAAAACAAAGTGTTTTTATTTATTTATTTAAATTATAACTACAATCCGAAAAAACAGGGGAAGCCTGGCTTCCCTTGGCCTCCGGGAGAAAACGCCACTGGAGAAGACAGACAGGAAGTAAACACTAAAGGGAACAGCAGGAGAAGACTAGTAATACTGCATTATACAATATTAGCATATCTCTTTGTATACAGTATAAGTAACTATGAAAGTTAAAGGTAGGGGAGGTAAGAATGGAGAAACCAGCTAGAATTAGAAAATACAAAAATAAATAAAAATCTGCCTCTTCCTCACAGAGCCCCTCCTCCAACACACAGGAACGCGCACATGACCAATGAGGGCACGAGATAAGTTTGTGCACAGATGGGAGGCTGACAGGCAGGTAGGCCATCCAGTTACTTTAGCCGGGCCGGCTCAGATGATTGGTCGTGCTTTTTACAGCGCCACGGTTTCCACAGGTGACATGTTTTTATGTATTTATTGTCAAAGCATTTCAGATATTCATTGCTATCGGGATGTTAAGAGCATTCCATGCAATATAACAACAAGTGTTTCCGAAGTGAATTACCTACCCCACCTTTAAGAATAAATAAATACAATAATAAACAAAATAAACTATACATGTAGTGGAGTAAAAAGTATATTTTATAGTATATTATCAAAAAGTAGCATTAAATGGAAATGCTCAAAGTACAAATATGTCAAAAAATAACAATACTTGACACAATTTGACCAAATGCAGTTTATAACTTAATGCACTGTATTTTATCATACAACATTCTGAAATTAAACTCTTGTTTGCACTCCATCCTCTGTGTGTGCATGATATTGTGTGTGTGTGATATTGTGTGTGTGTGTGTGTGTGTGGCCTAGCATTACCATCCTTGTGGGGACCTAAATCTGTTTACACAGTCACGTGTGGGGACTCGCCCCATGGGGACAAAATGGAGGTCCCCATGAGGGGAATCATTAATTTTAGGGTGAAGACTTGGTTAGGATTATGATTAGGATTAGGTTAAGGGTTAGGCATGTGTTGGTTATGGTTAAGGTTAGGATAAGTCTCCAGGAAATGCATGTAAGTCAATGTAATGTCCCCTGAAGTGATGTATACATGGTATGTGTGTGTATGTATGATACTGTGTGTGTGTGTGTGTGTGTGTGTGTGTGTGTGTGTGTGTGTGTGTGTGTGTGTGTATGTGTGTGTGTATGTTGTAGGCCAATAGTCACTGAGTTACACAACGCTTTCAGTTTCCCTGCTGCTGCTCGTTGCTCCACGCCCACCGCCGCGCGCTGCTGCTGCTGGGCGGACTGGGGCAGATCTCCGCGCGACCAGTTCCGTGTTTCCTGCTCCTCTCATCGGACCAGACTGAACCGGAGGACCCGCCATGAAGGAGCCTCCTGCACGGCCCAGGCATCCATAACTCCGGGGGTTCAGAGAGGAGAAAGTGTGCCGAGGTGAAGTGTTTTATTTCTGGGTCTTTCTAAGAGGATTCATCCGGCGGCTGCGGTGCGTTTACAGACAAACTTTGACGTTGCTTTTCCGGAGCTCCTCCCCCTCTTTCACTCCATATCGTGGAAGTGCTTCACCGTGCACACACACACATACATTTACGCACACGCACACACATGCATTTACGCACACATACATACATTTACGCACACACCGACACACACATGCATTTACGCGTGGGCTTCGCTTCCCGTTCGCGTTTTTATGAGGCCGTGCCATGCAGCTCTGCAACTTTTAATGTCGATGCATGTGTGTGTGTTCGTGTGTGTGTGTGTGTGTGTGCGTGTGTAGATACAGCTGCGACGTGTGTGTGTGTGTGTGTGTGTTCGTATATTATATATCAGCGTGTGTCACTGTGGCGTCCATTGATGTTGTTGTGACACAGGTGACGTAGTGCGTGACGCGCCTTCACGATGAGATAAGCAGATCCGCGCCGTGCGAATAAATAGCACGCTTGTGTGAGTGTGTGTGTGTGTGCGTGTGTCTTGTTGATGGACACTGAGAGGGATTTCTGAGCTGCGCACTTGAGATTCTTCTAGCAAAAATAAGAGAAGCAGGAGTATGTGAGGGAAGTAACCCACACACTGTTTCCTCTGTGTGTGTGTGCGTGTGTGTGCATGTGTGCGCGCGCGCGTGTGAACTCTGCAGTGAGTAAGCTGCATGTGCTCACACACCTGACATGCACAACACCAACGTGCACCTCATGTAATTTACAAGAAGAAAGTCATTCTCATTTATCTGATCACTTCTAGAATGGTCCAATTATTATTTTAAAACTATTTAACTTCAGTATGTATTCTTAATATCTGTTCTCTACACGTATCACAATACCTGTGTGTCTGGAATGGTCTCATTATTACTTACAAGTCAAATAAATGCAGCAAATAATGTATGTTATGCTTTCAATGTCACGGGATGGATACAGATTTGTTTATACAATGAATTGTATTCATGGGAACATTTCACATTCATACAAATAAATGTTTCACACTTTAACCTACAATTAAAGAGGCCCTATTCTGCTTATTTTTTAAATAGGGCCTCCTTAAACTAATTGTATGACTTGTGTTTAGATCATCATGAATATATCTGTCCATTCCTATCACTTTTTTAAATATCTGTTCTCTGCACCAATCACGATCCCTGTTTTTTTGCTATTTTCTCTTCAGGTAACTTTAGGTTAAAAGTTCATCAAACAAGTGATCAACAACAGCAGCATCACAACGATGGATGAAGAGACGAGGAAAATAAGGACGACTACCCAGAAGTCTCTTGCCCCAACTTCGTCAGCTGACCTTTGACCACTCGTGGATTAAAAATGTCCCTTTGGCTCGGACAGGGAGGGAAGCGAGACATCACACTGTCCGGGAACTCTGGGAATATAGTTTGAAACCGGATTGCAAAACGGCGTCTTTCTCCGTATTTCAATGGGACTCACATGGTTGGTGAAGATGGAATAAGATCTGGGTGTTTTTTTTTTTTTTAAGCAAAACTGATTCATAATTAGAAATTGAGTCAAGCATGGAGCAGGATTTCACACAATAGGATCTATCATAGATGTTGGATGGTGATCATCTGTATGCACTAGCCTGGACTAACATTAGCCAGCCTGGATTCAAACCCTTTACATCTGAAACAAGCCTGTAATATCTTCCATTTCTGCTCAAAACTACAAACATGGCTGCTACAGGAAGGAAGCACTTGGTGAAAGACTTCAACCATTTCATGACTTGTTACATGTGTCGAGGTTACCTGATCAAACCCACCACGGTCACCGAGTGCCTGCACACCTGTGAGTAAAACAGACACACCTGTGAAATGTTTGTCAGTTAAAAGATATCAAACTCTTTGAGGCAGGGAGATCTTACCAGAAACCATCAATCAACTGTATCCCAAGCTTTTGGCAAAGCTATTCAAGTGTATCAGGATAGTTCAGTGAGTGAGTGAGCAACATCTCTGCTAACAAGCTAACCTGCTAATCAGAATCAGAATCAGAATCCAGTTTACACATACAAGGAATTAGTTTAGTATCTGGTGGTGCAAACATTAACAATCTAGAAAAATAAGTTGCAAAGTAGGTAAAAAAAGAATATATTAGGATAATAAAAAACAAGTATTTTTAAGAAACAATTTAGCATTAAAACAGGATGCTAAAGTAAGTATTTACACCAAATGTAACTATTCAAATAACCTTAATCCCTCGATCCCAGCCCGTGCAGTCAACATGTCGATGTATCCTTGAGCAAGATACTTAACCCTGAGTTGCTCCTGATGGCCAACGGTGTGTGAATGTTAGGTCCTAGTGTAGGTACACTGCTCTGTGTGAATGTTAGGTCCTAGAGTAGGTACACTGCTCTGTGTGAATGTTAGGTCCTAGAGTAGGTACACTGCTCTGTGTGAATGGGTGTGAATGTTAGGTCCTAGAGTAGGTACACTGCTCTGTGTGAATGTTAGGTCCTAGAGTAAGGTACACTGCTCTGTGTGAATGGGTGTGAATGTTAGGTCCTAGAGTAAGGTACACTGCTCTGTGTGAATGTTAGGTCCTAGAGTAAGGTACACTGCTCTGTGTGAATGGGTGTGAATGTTAGGTCCTAGAGTGAGGTACACTGCTCTGTGTGAATGTTAGGTCCTAGAGTAAGGTACACTGCTCTGTGTGAATGGGTGTGAATGTTAGGTCCTAGAGTAAGGTACACTGCTCTGTGTGAATGGGTGTGAATGTTAGCTCCTAGAGTAAGGTACACTGCTCTGTGTGAATGTTAGGTCCTAGAGTAAGGTACACTGCTCTGTGTGAATGGTAGGTCCTAGAGTAAGGTACACTGCTCTGTGTGAATGTTAGGTCCTAGAGTAAGGTACACTGCTCTGTGTGAATGTTAGGTCCTAGAGTAAGGTACACTGCTCTGTGTGAATGTGTATGAATGTTAGGTCCTAGAGTAGGTACACTGCTCTGTGTGAATGTTAGGTCCTAGAGTAAGGTACACTGCTCTGTGTGAATGGGTGTGAATGTTAGCTCCTAGAGTAAGGTACACTGCTCTGTGTGAATGGGTGTGAATGTTAGGTCCTAGAGTAGGTACACTGCTCTGTGTGAATGGGTGTGAATGTTAGGTCCTAGAGTAAGGTACACTGCTCTGTGTGAATGTTAGGTCCTAGAGTAAGGTACACTGCTCTGTGTGAATGTTAGGTCCTAGAGTAAGGTACACTGCTCTGTGTGAATGTTAGGTCCTAGAGTAAGGTACACTGCTCTGTGTGAATGTTAGGTCCTAGAGTAAGGAACACTGCTCTGTGTGAATGTTAGGTCCTAGAGTAAGGTACACTGCTCTGTGTGAATGTTAGGTCCTAGAGTAAGGTACACTGCTCTGTGTGAATGTTAGGTCCTAGAGTAAGGTACACTGCTCTGTGTGAATGGGTGAACGACATGTAGTATGTAAAGCACTTTGAGGGGTCGTAACGACTGGATAAAGCGCTATATAAGTACAGTCCATTTACCATTTTAAAAGCTAAAAATAAAACATAAAAAAAACATTTAGGACAATGAGTATATGGCAAACTACAGTGTATTATATTTGTAGAGGGCTGTGCAGACATGTGTGCAAAAAGCAGTCACAGTAATGATGAGCGAGCTTTCAAGCTAACCTACTGTACCACCATGTCAGTTTCCAAGTGAGTGAACAAACCACATTCAGGCAAGCTAACCTGCAAATGAGTGAGCTAGCAAACTAATGTAGTGCACCAGTATGTCAGTTTCTGTGCAAGTGACTGAGCTAACTACCTGCAAGCGATCAAACCACCTATTAGCGAGCTAGCAGGCTAGCCAGCACACATTTCTCAAATCTTCAGTGTTTTTTGTTCTTTTTTTCTTTGAAAACAAAAGGCTGTCAAAGTGTCTTGACAAAATAATTGCCATTGTAGATTTTAGTTTAACCCCAACATGTAATACATGTTAATGTTGTTTCCTTACAAGCACTTAAATCAAACCCCATAATTACACATGATAAGATTGTTACAAAGCTAACCGACTGTACAACCAGGTCAGTTTCCAGGCCAATGAGTGAGCTAACTATCTGCAATCAAGCTAACCTGCTAACGAGCATGTTAATCAACTTTTCAGTGTTTTTCTTTGTTTTATAACTTTGAAATCCTTTAAGGGTCATTCCAGAATTGGAGGATAATTTAGACACCAACATTTTTGAAAAATGAACCATTTATTTTATAATTTTTTTGTATGTATTTAGGAAAAACAGACAATAAACCATCAAAAAAAGCATTTGCCCAGCTAGGCATCACATGTATATTTTCCAATGAAGAATTACCCGTTACTCTAATTATAGTAACAGGGTTGAAAATGAATGCTAATTTGAGCTTTAACCTCAGGAAGTATTGCTAGATGTAGCATGTAATGCTACTTTCAAGGCAAGGACACACTTGGATATCTAATGCAAGAAAGATAACTTTGAAATGAATATGCTTTATTCTGATAATATCAGTAACAGGGCTGAGTGGGTCAGAGTGCCACACTCTTTTAAGACTGACAAGATTGTAAAAATATGAAAAATAAAAGAGGACTTAGTTGTGGTCTACCCATGGCACTAGCACATGGCTTGCTGATGTCACTTCCTGTGTCATCTGATTTACAGTTTTTTCACTTCCTGTGCCAATCTAAAAAGGTTTGGGTAACAGGGTTGAACGCATGTTGAGGGACACACCTTCTGTGCAACATTACTGTTATCTAAAATGTGTTTATGATTTAATAAATTGATTTGACCATTACAAGAGACATTTATCAATAGAATAATACCAACAAAAGTAAATAAAATCCCTTTTTAAATGTTATATTTGACGCAAGTTGGTCACCAAGAAGCGGGGACAAGAGAAAAATGCCATTTTAGGGGATGTTCGAGAGCTATTTGATAATTTAAATAATATTTTGAAACCACTTTTTCTACAACTTGATATACATTTTGTCTCAAGACAAGTATGTTTAACACAACAAGTGCATGTTTTAGCATTTTGGGCATGGATTATTAGATTTTTTATATGGGGGACATGAAATGTCCTCCAATTCTGGAATGACCCTTAAACTAAATGCTGTCTTGACAAAAACTCGCCATTGGAGAGTCGAATTTAACCCCAATAACTTATGTTGGTTTCTTTTGCAGTCTGCAAGAGATGCATTGCATGTCACCTGGTTTGCTAATAAATGACCCACAGTGCATGTTCTTAACACATCATTAGCTTGTTACCTAGCCAGCTAACCTACTGTACTACTCTACTGTTTCCAGGTTAGTCACTGGGCTAACTGTCTGCTAGCTGTCAGCAAGCGAGCTAATCTGCTAATGAGCGAGCTAGCAGGCTAACCAGACGACGTTTATCAAACTTTTCAGTGCTTTTTTTCCCGTTTAGTTCTTTGAAATCCTTAAAACATGATCAATCAATGTTTATTTATAAAACCCAATATCACAAATGCTACATTTGTCTCAGTAGACTTTACAGTTTGTACAGAATATGAATACGACCCCCTCTGTCCTTGGACCCTCGCATCGGACAAGGACAAAGATGCATCTTATTTTAACAATTAACAAATCTTAATGTTGTTTCCTTTGCAGTCTGTAAGAGCTGCATCGTGCAGCACTTTGAGGACAGTAACGACTGTCCTAGATGTGGCATTCAGGTTCATGAGACCAACCCACTGGAGATGCTCAGGTAATGTTTTATTCTAACTCTGACTTGACTCTCACGGCCCGTCCACACAGCAGCGTGCGTTGAAAGCTTCACCATTCACTTTGAATGGGGCGACGTCACTTTTTGCCGAACTGCATTGTGGGAAGCGACGCGGAGCTTTGCTGGCATGGCTCGCTGCAAAAGTTGAGCAATGTTCAATTTTTGAAGCCTCGTCAGCCAATCGAATCATATGCCAGTACAAGCTCTAACCAATCAAACCGCTGCTTGTGTGTCAGGGGCGGGAGATTCATGTGATTGGTTGTTGGTCGAGTTTCAGACACGCCCGCCGGCGAGCTTCAACGCACGCCGCTGTGTGGACGGGCCGTCACTGTTGTCTCTTCTTTGAGAAAGTCTCTGTTGTTATAAATGACAAATGCAACACTTTGTACAAACAGGTCATCGCGCAAAACCAATACAAATAATTGTCACGTTCTTTTTGCCGCTACTTTTAATTGAACTATTCACATCTCACATCTCACATCTCACATCTCACATCTCACATCTCACATCTCACACCGAACTGTAACTTTTATTCATGTCCTGTTATTCATGGTTTATTATCTTTGCTTTTTAATCTTTCAACGAGTTTTATGCTCTTAATGTCTTTCAGGGTTTGTAAAGCGCTTTGAATTGCCTTGTAGAAAAGTGCTAGATAAATAAACTTGCCTTGCCAAGATCAAAACCCTCAATACAGCACAATACATAATAATAATAATAAACACATTATAAATAGAAATAAAACAACAACAAATAAACCTGCATAGTCATAAATAATAACAACTAAGGGGAGAAAAGAATAAACAAATGAATCAAGATAACAAGGTACGATAGTTTAGGAGACTTGGCCGTGGTGATATTGTATTGAGTAACACTACATTACAAATGCAACACTTTGTACAAACAGGTCATCGTGCAAAACCAATACAAAGATAATCACCAAGATCAAAACCTCCAATGCAAAATAACAAATAATAATTCAAACATTAGAAAAAAATTGAAATACAAAAACAACAAAAAAGTCATAAATAATAACAACTAAGGGGAGAAAATAATAAAGCAATGAATCCAGATAACCAGTCACGGTAGTTTAGGGGACTTGGCCGTGGTGATATTGTATTCACTACAGTACAAATGCAACACTTTAAGTACACCACATGTTTTTTCCATTTACCCCCATTGTGACCGTGACTCATTTGATCGACGTGTATTTCTGTTCTGATCATTCTTAACGTGTGTATTTCCCCTCATGCTTCTCTCACATCCTTCATTTGAGTTTCATTCTGATTCGACATGTGTCTTTCACCGTGTGTTTTGGCACTATCTTTTACCCCTCACTGATTCTTGAATTTGGATAAAACAGGTTTTACATTTGAAAAAAATTAAATGTTAAGAAATCTAAATGCATTTGTTTATAGAACAAGGTGTCAGCAATATTTCGGGGGAACCTCCTGATTTAGTCCGTTTTTCATAAATGGTGTTTTGTTCCAGTCTGAGCTAAAGAGCGATAGATTTAGAGCTTACACATACTGACTATTTCACCCTTTTGCTTCTCTTCCTCCCCACTTCTGCTCTCTATTTTTTGATCCTGTCATTTTACATCCTTATGCAACTTCCTTTTCACCTCCTTCTCTCTCCATATTCTCAGGTTGGACAACACCCTGGAGGGAAATCATTTTCAAGCTGGTACCTGGACTCAGAGAAAGTGAGATGGTTTCATCAATCTGTCTCCTCAGTTTGACGTCCATGTTTAATTATGCGATTATTCACGGGGGGAAAAATAGTTCACTAAACGACAGAACAACAGAAAATCACATGATTTATATTCAAGCTAGCCAATATTTTATTACTACACACAAATGGCCTTCAACATGTGCACTAGTTGTGACCCAACCCTTTATTATATGAAGTTGAACCAGCGGGGAAAACCCAAATAAAATATGGGTAATGAAAGAACACTATCATATTAAGTGAGAGCATCCCTGTAACATTACAACAGGTCAGAAGAAAAGCAAAGGAATGAGATTTACAACTCTGAAATGAATCATCATTTTACCACTTCCTGTCCCCCGGCCTCAAACTCAGTGGTTTTTATAAATGTATTTGAGGTTAGATTCCTACAAAAAGGTCTGTGGTTAACACAAGCTGAAGATATTTCTGTTCTACGACATCAAATACATCAGTAAATACCCCACTGGTGCATTATAAAATAGTGGTTGCTAACAAGTGTCTAAATGAGACGACTAAACGTCATCACGTGAAGTCATGTGACCGTGCTGTAGTTCCTTTATAGCTCAACATTAGCCTCCTTTAGCTTAGCGGTGGTGACATGGAGTCATGTGACCGTGCTGTAGTTCCTTTATAGCTCAACATTAGCCTCCTTTAGCTTAGCGGTGGTGACATGAAGTCATGTGACCGTGCCGTAGTTCCTTTATAGCCCAACATTAGCCTCCTTTAGCTTAGCGGTGGTGACGTGAAGTCATGTGACCGTGCTGTAGTTCCTTTATAGGCCCAACATTAGCCACCTTTAGCTTAGCGGTGGTGACGTGAAGTCATGTGACCGTGCTGTAGTTCCTTTATAGCCCAACATTAGCCTCCTTTAGCTTAGCGGTGGTGACATGAAGTCATGTGACCGTGCCGTAGTTCCTTTATAGCCCAACATTAGCCTCCTTTAGCTTAGCGGTGGTGACGTGAAGTCATGTGACCGTGCTGTAGTTCCTTTATAGCCCAACATTAGCCACCTTTAGCTTAGCGGTGGTGACGTGAAGTCATGTGACCGTGCTGTAGTTCCTCTAAAGCCCAACATTAGCCTCCTTAGCTTAGCGGTGGTGACGTGAAGTCATGTGACCGTGCTGTAGTTCCTTTATAGCCCAACATTAGCCTCCTTTAGCTTAGCGGTGGTGAAGTCATGTGACCGTGCTGTAGTTCCTTTATAGCCCAACATTAGCCTCCTTAAGCTTAGCGGTGGTGACGTGAAGTCATGTGACCGTGCTGTAGTTCCTTTATAGCCCAACATTAGCCTCCTTTAGCTTAGCGGTGGTGACGTGAAGTCATGTGACCGTGCTGTAGTTCCTTTATAGCCCAACATTAGCCTCCTTTAGCTTAGCGGTGGTGACGTGAAGTCATGTGACCGTGCTGTAGTTCCTTTATAGCTCAACATTAGCCACCTTTAGATTAGCGGTGGTGACGTGAAGTCATGGGACCGTGCTGTAGTTCCTTTATAGCCCAACATTAGCCTCCTTTAGCTTAGCGGTGGTGACATGAAGTCATGTGACCGTGCCGTAGTTCCTTTATAGCCCAACATTAGCCTCCTTTAGATTAGCGGTGGTGACGTGAAGTCATGGGACCGTGCTGTAGTTCCTTTATAGCCCAACATTAGCCACCTTTAGCTTAGCGGTGGTGACATGAAGTCATGTGACCGTGCTGTAGTTCCTTTATAGCCCAACATTAGCCTCCTTTAGCTTAGCGGTGGTGACGTGAAGTCATGTGACCGTGCTGTAGTTCCTTTATAGCCCAACATTAGCCTCCTTTAGCTTAGCGGTGGTGACCTGAAGTCATGTGACCGTGCTGTAGTTCCTTTATAGCCCAACATTAGCCTCCTTTAGCTTAGCGGTGGTGACGTGAAGTCATGTGACCGTGCTGTAGTTCCTTTATAGCCCAACATTAGCCTCCTTTAGCTTAGCGGTGGTGACGTGAAGTCATGTGACCGTGCTGCAGTTCCTTTATAGCCCAACATTAGCTTTTAACTTAAAAAATACGTTATCATTGCACCACTGTATTGCGGCAATATTAAATATCCCACATATTCATACATTAAGATTCTCCCAGCACATTTACTGTTAAATTTGTCTCAACAGTGTCCTCATTGCTATGTTAAAACATGGCAAACAATTGGAAACATTTACATTTCAGGTCCTTCTGTACAAACTCACTGTGCTAGGAAACGTCTTGCTTCAAATTAAAACAATTTTAACTTGCTGTTCACACTGAATATAATCAGATTCAATGGCTTCCAATGTTAGCTTTTGAGCAAAACAGTTTCCCTCCAATAGCTCTGTGCTCCTCCTCAGGTTTAATCCAAGAAGCCAACATGTCTAACTTAATCTGTGATGGTGCTTCAGTTTTATGACTCCATAACTTCCCGCTGCTGACGGAGCAAACATCGTATATCTTAGTGAAGCCAAGTGGTGTAAAAATAAGCGTCATAGCATTTCTGATTAATGGTTTGTGAGAGTAATACCCAATGAAGGATCAGAATCACCCGCCTGTCTTTATAGGAATTCAGTGTGAATGCTTCTCTGTGTGTCTCCATGCTGCTTTTTAACACTTCCTGTTGCTTATGTAAAACCAGGAGAGGAACAGCAGGAGCTGGAGTTCTGGAAGAAGAACCAGCCCAGAGAGAACGGCCAAGGTGAGAGGATTTAGATTTTATACGATGTGTGTTTTGATAAATACAGTCGCTTTACCACTGGCTTAAATCCTGCCAGATTGTGTGTAAATAACGAATACTCTTAAGGGTTCTTTCTTACTTATTTGACTGTTATAATGTCTTTTTTACTTCTAATTTACTGTTTATATCTTCTTCCTGCAATTAGTAGAGGAGGCAGACATTAAATCAATAGATTAGGGGAGTTTTTAATTACGTTTTGACTAAACACACACACACACACACACACACACACACAAACACACATACCATGTATACATTACTTCAGGGGACATTACATTGACTTACATGCATTTCCTGGAGACTTATCCTAACCTTAACCATAACCAACACATGCCTAATCCTAACCCTAATCCTAAACCTAACCCTTATCCTAACCAAGTCTTCACCCTAAAAGTAATGATTCCCCTTATGGGGACCTCCAATTTGTCCCCATAAGGGAGGCGAGTCCCCACACGTGACTGTGTAAACAGATGTAGGTCCCCACAAGGATGGTAATGCTAGACCACACACACACACACACACACATTCCCCTGGAGACTGACTTTTTCACTTACGTCAACCAACATATCTGTTTTTATAAAATGTCCGATCATCGATGTCTTCTATGGCACACTCATATTTATATTTTGTAAACCTGACAAAAATAATATATTTCTATTTATTCTGTATTGTGTATTATTTATACCATAGCTATAGTGTATTCATTTTCTAAACTGCTGTTTGTATACAATACTGTCAGATATTTGTATACTGTACTAAAGATCACTATGCGCTTTACTACTGTTTTGCACTTCTGGTTGGATGTAAACCACATTTTGTTTCTTAGTCGTTTGCAATGACAGTAAAGTTTAATCGTAATCTTAATCTAATTGTCATATTGTGGGCTTGTTTATGTAAATATGGGGCGTACAGGGGGTCCGCGGGGTCTTAAAAGTTGATCAATCAATTTAGCGAAAATGAAGGCTATTTAAAAGTATTAAACAGCATTTTTCAAGGTGTTAGATTTTGTAGCTTGTTTTCAATAAGTATATAAATGGTCCAGAGAGGTTGTATTCTACAGTCTGCCTGAATGTAGTCATGGCGTAGGTGTGTAGTGATTCTGTGTAGTTTATTGATGGCATCCCGTTGGGTTTGACGTCATCTGAACAGGACATCGCACGCTCACTGCTTGATAGCGAGCGAAGCTCCGTTTACGCCGGTTGCTAAGCAACATCGTTATGAGGAAATGCAAGTCTGCGTCCAAATGGTTGGAAGATAAGGAGGAAGGACAATCAATACTGTTTATAGTCAATGTGAGGTGAAGTGTGTCGCCAAGGTAACCGGTTAAAACTCGAAGTGGAGATGAGGTCTTTCAATGTTTGGGAAGGGTCTTAAAAAAGGTCTTTAAATGTTTTCCATCTGACTTCAGGATTCCTGCATAGACCCTGACATAGCTGACTTTAGGACATTTTCCCGCTCACATTTTGATGCCTTAAAATGCTAGTAAGAGAAAAATTAGAGCACTGTTTAGTGATGCTAACTGTACACTGTTGGTCTCTAACTAAAGCAAGGCAAGTCTATTTATACAGCACTTTTCAACACAAGACAATTCAAAGTGCTTTACAAAAATGAAAGACATTAAGAGCATCAAACACATTAGAAACATTAAAAAGCAAAGATAATAAAACATGTGAATAGTTCAATTAAAAGCAGCGTCACAAAGAAAGTCTTCAGCCTGGATTTAAAAATAGTCAGAGTTGCAGACCGGCCGGTTTCTGGGAGTTTGTTCCAGATATTTGGAAATATCTCAAACCACATTCTCACATTCCTCTACTTCTAGTGTTCTCGTGAAATTATAGTTATTATTACTTTTCAATCATTTTAATATTCCTTTCATCCATTTTGCATCCCAAAGCAGAAAGGCGTCAGAGGCTCGGACTTCCTGACGTTGTGGGTGATTATGGAGGCCGTGATGATGATGACGATGAGGAAGATTACCACAGAAATGATCCTCAGATCGCCATCTGTCTGGACTGCCTGCGAAACACGGGACAGTCTGAGGCGACTGTCACGGTGGGTTGGATTGTTTTTTATTTTCTTGTAAAACAATAATACAAAATAAAAACACCTGTACAATCTTAAGCAGTATCAAATTGATAAACAAAAATATTATTCACTTACAAATTATATATAAACAAATGATCTACCTAATTACACATCCAAAAAGTCTGTAGTGTGTATACCTTAATCATCATTAAGTAAATCAATCGGTAACATTTAGTTTTGGGTCTTTTCTAGGACAGGATTTCATTTTAAGCTGCCTCTCTTGTTGAGTCTCTAATTGATTTTATTTTCTCGTCCAATTAGGATCTGATGAAGAGATTCATCCGCTGCTCCAGTAGAATCACAGTGGGAACCATTAAGAAGTTTCTCAGTCTGAAGCTCCAGCTGCCCAGCTCCTACGAGGTAAGAACCCCAACAAAACTGAAGATAAAACAGATACCAACTTTTAGATATATTTTCGAATCATTCACTTCATCCATTATTCACCGTATGAAGCTCCGCCCCCTTTCCAGCTTCTTGTGTAGC